CTTGCGAAAGCGCTGCGCCTGCCACAGCATCAGTATACACCTGACCTTGTGAAAGCCTGGCGCTTGCCACGAAATTTGTACCTGACCTTGCGAAAGCGCTGTGCTTGCCGCGCAATCTGCACCTGCACCTCACCTTGCGAAAGTGCTGCGCGTGCCACGAAATCTGCTCCTGACCTTGAGAAAGCGCTGCGGCTACCACGACATCTGCGCATGACGGTGCTGCCACGAAATCTGCAGTTCACCTTGCGAAAGCCCTTGCGAAAGCGCTATGCCCGCCACGCAAACTCATGTTGCGAAAAGTGTGCGCGTCCGTGCCAAGAGGCCCGACTCCGAGAGTGTTCCGAACGCCCTCCGAACGTGCTCCGAGCCTGCTCCGACCAAGCGGCGCGATCAGGCTACCTTTCGACCACGCCAAAGCCCCGAAACCCGCAAAGGGTTGCACTTTGTTGACATTTCTATTCCCCCGCCACACACGCGCACACTTCTTTCGCTCGTGCTTCTTCTTATCTTGTCCTCTGACAGAGAGCTTTCAATCAATTAGAAGTTCCTTCTAAACATCTCATGGTAAACTTCGGCTTAATTACATAATTAGGCTATACCCGCAATTGAATTGTTACACCCCAAGCAACCACCCTCAGAACCAGCGCGCATACTGCAACATCTCGAACCTTTCGTCTCCCAAGCGCGCGGGGCCGCGACTTCTCCGTCCGAGGCGCCATACTTGGCGGCATCTTCCGCCACCTCCAGCACCAAGCGCCGCAAGTCCGCCTCTTCTCGCAGGCACTCGCACACGGCCATGTAGGCGGTCGCAAACCTGGGAAAGTCACATGGACAGGACTCCGTTTTGGAAGAAAGGGATGTCGCTGGAAAATGGTGAGGAAGAAACTGAAACCAGCACCGTGTGTGTTCACCAAAAGTGTCTCAAACTACTATTGGGCAGTGGATACCACACATAAAGTTGCATCAGTCGAATCTTACGGTCGTGTTGGTGCCCGATTAATCAACGGGCACCACATATAATAACGTTTCTATGTTGAAGCTTTCAAGAACCGTGGGCCTGCGCAAAGGAAGGTGGAAGTGTTTTTTTTACTCACCCTGGTTTTTTGCTAACCCTGGCTGTGATTGGTGGGTTGGTTGGTTGGTTGGTTGGTTGGTTGGTTGGTTGGTTGGTTGGCTGGCTGGTTGGTTGGTTGGTTGGCTGGCCGCATCCCCGGCATCACCAACATCACTTGGACCTGGGGTTGCTTATTGGCTCTGATGGGGTGGCAGTTGGGAGTTGCTGGTGTCTGGTGGGGTTTTGGCTGGCTTAGATCTTCATGAGGGTGGGTCTTGGGGTGGTTTGGGGTTGATTTAGGCGAAGGGCTGACATCCAGGCTGCTGTTGGGCGGGTGTAGGGTTGACTTTGAGTGGGTTTGGGGTGGCTTGGAGCTGATTTGTGTTAGGTGTGCTGCTGGTTTAGCAGCGGCTTTAGAGTTGCTTTAGGGTGTGGTTAATAAAGTTCTGGTCTAGTTTTGGTGGTTTGGGGCAACGCTGGATGTCAGCCCTTCGCTTCGCCTAAATCAACCCCAAACCACCCCAAGACCCACCCTCATGAAGATCTAAGCCAGCCAAAACTCCCCTAACCTAAACCAGACCCCAGCAACTCCCAACTGCCACCCCATCAGAGCCAATAGGCAACCCCAGGTCCGAGTGATGTTGGTGATGCCGGGGTTGCGGCCAGCCAGCCAGCCAGCCAGCCAGCCAGCCAGCCAGCTCAGCCAGCCAGCCAGCCAGCCAGCCAACCAGCTAACCAGGGCTAAGGGGGGACCAGGGCTAGGAAAACAAAAAACACCATCTCCCGCAAAGGAACACTCAAACAAATCAAAACCAGCCGAAGCAATACTCAGCCAATACTAATCTAATGCAAACCAATATTGAGGCAGTACGAAGGCAGCACAAAGCAACACTAAACCAATACAAAACCCATATTAATCAATACTAAGCCAGTACTACGCGACACTAAGCCAATACACAGCCAACACTAGCCAACACACAGCCGGACCTAAAGCAGCACAAAGCAAAAGCAACACTAACACGTCACCAGGATCGAGAGGGACCCCGCATCCGAGCCACGGAGAGAAGTCCGGGAAGGTCTTGCCGCGCCTCGGAGCGGCTTGAGTGACCACGTTTGCCTTGAAAGACGGGAGCTTCACAAAAGGGTTTGGACCCCTTGAAATGCTGGGCGCCTTTTGGTCTCCCTCCAAACATCGCCACAAAACAAACACAATAATTTTAGAACCTGCCGAAATACCACATCACTATTTAAATGGATGATAGTCTCGAAGGCTCTTTCGGACATTTGGGATATCAAGCAATTTGCAGCGATCTTTCCAGCAAGCTACTAAAAATGTGGTGCACAGGCGGGTTGCTGGTGACCTTTGCTGTTCAGGTACGGTGTGTGGAATTTTGGACGGGGGCATTGATGGATGCGGTTGAGGGGTGCGATGGTAATTGCGTACCTCATGGATGCAGCTGTTGTGAACACCCTGTTTCGTTCTGTTCATGTTACACAATCAACAAAAGCAAGAGGTACGGCTCGCGGGCACAGGGTTACGGTATGGGGGGGGGGGGGGGTGCGTTTTACGTTACGAGTGTATGGGGATGAGTGGGTAATTACCCTGGCCTCAACCCGCTTCCAACATGACAAAGGCGACAAATCCTCACTTTTGTGGGAGTTTCTTGTTTGAGGGGACCTTGTTGGGAGATTGCGAGAAGGAGAAATCAATAAGGGAAGCCAAGCGTTTGTGGGTCCGCCGCATTCTGAGACAAACCAAAACGGTGAGCATCTGACTTAGCTCTGCTCGAACGGGGCGCCGCTTTGGGAGCGTGCCCTTCTCAGGTTTGTGCACCAACCCGAAAGCCATCAGTTGCAGGGATCCCCCGATTTTCAGTGGCCCTATTTTCAGAGGTCGCAATTTCCGTTGTTCGCACCATTTTCAACGGCCCTCGATTTTGAGACAAACCCAAATCATGGCACCTAGCCAGTCACGCAAAATGGAGCGTGGCAGCTGAGCCACGTATCCATTGGTCGCTGCACTCCATGTCTGCCACAAAGCTCCGTAAGCGTCTCGCTGCCTGTCAGCAAAAGCATTCGCAGTGAGCCTTCATTGACACGGACCATCCAGTTAGGCTCATTGTCACTTAGGAAATCGGATAGGTGTCCTTTACGAAGTGTGCCCTTTACCCGTAAGCCACGGTTTACCTAGGCACCTTTGCAGAAATCAACAAACCAACCCCCTCTCGCTTGGCAGAGGAATGCACAAGCCCAGCAACTCGCTCATTCCAAGCCACGCATCGCACCCTCCAAATGCAGGTGGAGCTCCTGAGAGAGCTGCCCCTCTGAGACAACTGGATATGCGAAGTCAACTCAATAGCTCATGCGAAGCTAAGCTCATGCCAAGGTTTTGGCTCATGGCATTAATGGCTCAATGGCTCATGCGAAGTCAAGGTTTGATTAAAAGCAGATTGGTCCACGACATCTGTGTCACACCGTGAACATGCTAGGCTATTGCCCCGTGACCGAGAAATAGGTTAAGGCCCCTCTAATAGTGCCTCGCCATAGATTCCCAATGCAAGCTTCCCCAGTAGGGAGTCGCGGCAAAATGCTACACCGTTGTAGCACTCAGGATCTGCTACGCGAGCACTTCACACAATCATACCACGGACCTGTCAGGTCGGCTTCCGTGTTTGAGATCCGCTTCTGCCTCTGTGAGGATCGGGACCTGCATGTCATGGAGTTGAACCAATGCATTGACAATCTCCAGACTGGTTTTGACTCCTTCTCATTATCTGCGCATTGATGACAGGCACAACAAGCGGCCCGGTTCGAGCTGGCTTTGCATCAGCCATACATCCCTATAGACAATCTGAAGTCCAATTTTGATGCGCAAGGTCTCATGGGGAAGCTTGCTGCGAAGACAGTATCGCTTAGATGGGAAAGGCTGCGTGATACGCCTTCAGGCAGGAACTGATGGATCCACATTCAGTTGCCGCCAACTCTGAGAGTGCCGGCTTAACTAGTCGATCCTCAGTTCTTGTGTATGATTTTGCGACACATGTGTCTGTGTCTGAGCGCCACTGCAAGTAGGATGTGCATGAAAACGATTGCATCACTACCAAACATGATTGGCGATAGGAACAAATGACACTTGGTGCTGCTGGACTGAAGAAGCTACTTGCTTCCGATTATACAGCTTGCCAGCAGCCCCGCACATTGCAGGAAGCCATGAGAAGCAGGATCAGAAGGCCCCACCCAACAGCGAATCGCCGTCGACGCACCAATTATTCGAGATCGTATCGTGTGCATGCGATCAATCTGCATGGATATCTTTTCCTGCCGGACTCCTCCTACAAACAAGCAAGCACACATGCTGAGTGAAGACACATGCCCTACATTCAAGGGCACAATGCTAGGTTCCAGTCCACTCCTTTCTGCCAGGAAACTGTCACAACATCCATCTGGGCCCTGAATTGACAGCATGGTGGCATGGTGGCCCAAAATCACATGGCCGTGTAAACAAGGATGTTGCCATGCTACAAATAGCAAGCCCTTGGCAAATGTCGCTTGAATGGATGAGGCGCGTGCAGTTGTGTGTGTGTGCGCCCGCCTGAATGCGCGTCTGTGTGTGTGTGTGTGCGCGCGCGTGTGCATCTGCATGTGTGCTTCGAGGGTACGGCTAGTTTTGAAGGAACATAACAAGCAACCACACATTTGGAGGGGTCCCTCATTTAGAGACACCCACCTTATTTCCAAGTCCAAGTCTCTGCTTTCGGCAACGCTGCCAAGGAGCGCTCCATGGCACATTGCTTCTAGCTTCCTTGCTAAGAAATGAGACTGCGGGCAAAAGGCGGGAAGCAAGTTGCCGAAATGGACCCTTTTTGGATCTCTTTTGCAGGCGCACGGGGCCCCGGAAAAGGGCAACTGTTTACAATCCAAAAGGCACAGTTCTGAGCTTTCAGACCTGCCATGGCTTCGATGACGTCAGAGTCCCCTGAGTTGGTTTTGAACCTGCGCAAAGCTGAGGCTTTTCCAGGGCACCATCTTCGTTTCGCCTATCAATCCGACTCTTCACCGTGTCCAAGGCCATCTGCAGAACCTCAGAACGCGCCGCTGATGCGTGAGTCGAAAAAGCCATACGTGATCGGCGCAACAGGACAACTTCCAGGCAGCGTTTGCCTCAAAAAGGAGCCCGATCGCCTGTAAATTGGGTTGCGCCGACCAGGGGCTCTTCATCAACTGGTTCCCCTTATGGGTCCTTTCCTCCGGTGACGAAAGCCATTCTTTGTTAAGACTTGCATGCTGAGGCTCAGGCCTCTCCTCCCACACCAGACTCCCAAATGCCCTTCAGGCACTGTAACACCTGACGCAGCAACTCAGTCAACATATGCAACCAACCGCAGACTACTCCGCTTTTTGTCAGGGCACTTTAGCAGAATCAGCTGTTTTCATGGAAGAATGAGTACTTTGTTTCACATTAGTGTGGTTCCCCTCAGTTCTTTGCAGAAACCTAGATAGTTCCCCCCTGTCCCAAACCCCAATTTAATCATAGCTGAATATGTTGACCAAACTTCACTCGGCAACTCAACTCGCCAACTTCATATGTGCAAACAGGAGATAATAGTTGGCCAGTGGATCGGCCGTGTCTGGGAGAAACACCAGAAGTACTCAGCGCCAGGCAACTTTTCTGAGCCTCATCTGGTTTTGCTTCTTGAGAAATTCCTCAACTGTCAAGCATCGCGGCCATTCGGTCTTCTGCAAAACAACTGATGTGTGTGTATGCCGCATGAGTTGCACACATCGTCACATGCTCCAAATGGATGTGGAAACCCTGATGGTCCGTCTTTTGTCCCTGCCTCACATGGCTATGTCACATGTCTCACAAGCTTGGGTCCACCTGGAAAGGTAACCAACATGAATTCTTTCCGATGCCTCGATTTTGCACCCGTAAGCCAATCAGGGTCTCCAACAGCAGCCAAAAGACAATCCCAGCAACCTGCCCCACCGCTCCAAAGCCAGATGGGCCTGACTCGGTAGCTGTCGCTGTGTGGAAGCAATGAACCAAAGCGGGCAAGAACCCCCCAAATCCCAACTCCACCACAAAGCCATGAATAAGAAGGCTGCCTTTCGAGGGAAGCCCTAATCAGGGGACCAAGTTCCGGCTTGCGCCAAAGAAGAATCACGTAAGCAGCCTGAAAAACCCACTTCTTTGAACTTTTTGTAGAGTCACCCAACCTAAAGCTGGGGGCACATGCCCAGCATGCCCAGCATGCCATGTGACAGAATGCCGGTCCTTCGCGCTGTCCGGCCTGGATAGAAGGATGCGTCGTGGAGTCACAAGCAAAATCAATGCCAAAAGGAGCTTAAAAAGAGTCTACTCAGAATGATGTAAACATATGCCATGAGTTCATTCGCTTTTCATCAATAGCAGTCCCCCTCCACTTGTCCAGGTTCGATTTTGGTCCGAAGGTGCAGGTCATCCGGGAAGGACGCCATTCTGGGGACTGGAAAAGATCTTTGATGTGAAAGCTTCCGAGAGCACTGCATCACATTGTTGGTGTGGACGCCCAATCTCCTCCTTGGTGTTGTAAGATCCTGGCTGGCGTCTCGTGAAGCGGCTCCAAACACAGTTGGCTCCAACTCGGCCAGACCAAAGAGCTGGAGTAGAGGCTTTGAATGGGTAATCTCCGGAGAATTATGACCGTGAGATGGCCTTCAAGACGAAACTTGAATAGGTCTCTTCTATCTTTGTACTTGGGAAACAAATCCTCTTGAAGCATGCCCGAACCGAAGCCTCTGCAGCCTTGCAGCTCCCCAAATGCCAGTCCTTCACAGCTGCTAGCAGGGTGTCACGCAGCTCGTAGACCTCTTGCTAATGGCCCACTATGCTCAACAGTGCAACTTGAACAAGGGTGGTCCCGTCTTGCGGCCAGGCAGTGAGAGCAGGACGCGTCTGTCGTCTGATAGAATATGGAACATGCACCAAAAGCAAAGGGATATTCATGGCTGCCCCGCGCTAGATTGTGGTTGGCTCCGCAAGAAACCTGTAGAGGAGGTTCTGTGCAACAGACCTAGCGAGAGCCAGACGCTCAGGAGCCAACATCTGTGGATTTCGCCACCACCTCCAGCTCTTCAACCTGGCGCAAAGCCCCTCGGCTTGAAGCCTTCGGAGCCTTTCAGGAGCCGTGTTGCCTTCTTTCTGCTCTTCGGCTCCACCATGATGTCTTTGCAGGCTTCGACCTCTGATGTCTCTGTCTCTGCCTCTTCTGGCTATTTCCCAAGCTTCCAGCCATCTGGCCAGCTTGTTCTGAAAGCGCAGCCTCGTCGACGCTCTCATCTCCTGCGAGTCCGCCGTGATATCAACGCCACTCGGGGGCTTTCGCCTTTGACCAGCCTGGCCCCATCATATCAACCCTTCAGACCGACTCTGCCCGATAAAGCCGCAAACTCGGCCTAACAAAGGGCGTTCAATGAATGACATGTTCAGCGTTCTCTAAGGGGGGAAAACTTGAGGGGTTTAATGGTGGGGTTTAATCATATGTCAAAGTCGCTTTTTCGTGACAGCCACAATGCCGCGGCTGCTTGCTGCTGGCCAGTGCGCTTTTCGTGACAACTGCCAATTCTCAGCGAGGCAATTTACCATGACAGGAATGTCCGCGACGGTTGAGCTATTGCAAACCTACATTGTAGTGCCATCGGAAACATCAACATAGATATCAGCATCAACATCCACCTTGTCAAATAACAAACAACTAGTTCCTGGAATTCAAACATTGCTGGAGCTTTCGAGAGGCATTCAGTGATGTGCACCGGTACAGAATCGGGAAATATAACATGCTGTGCTGTCAGAACATCCTCCGCGTGAGGGCTGACCACGAAGCATTCGCAGGGTTTGTTTGTGGAAAGGGCTGTCCAGGGTCATGCCAAGCGAGTACACATAACGCAACAAGGCCGCAGACTTGCGTGCTTGGGGAAAACAAATATAGCAAAAACAAGGTCACGACCGTTCTTCTGACCCCATTGATTTTGCTCGTGCCTGAAAGCTGCAGGTTATGCGTTCCACCATTTTTGCAGGGGGTTTTAGCAGACTCTGCGAACCCTGAGTGTTGGAATGACCTGCGAAGCACGGTGATTAGCACTCACCAGCTGCTCGGCGTGCGCGCGGGCTTGGTTTCTAGGGCACATGGACATGAAGCACAGCTAGCCTTCAAGTATGGTTTGAATTCTGTACGCCGTAGCCTTTTTTTTAAATAGTCATAGCCATTGATGATTTAGCTCGATTTCGAACACATCAAAATAGTCACTCTCTTTTGCGACGCGGACATGTTGGTTTCGTCTTGTATCTACATAATTTGTACAAACTGAGCGCAACTGCGTTCTAATTCGCGCACGGAAAACGACTGCAAAAGTAGACACCTGATCGTGCCGAGATGATTTCGCAGCTCTTGAGTTGTGAAGATGCAGTGGCTTGAAGGCAAGGACTGATGTGTCCTAGTGAAACTATCGACTCACTTCAGAAAATATGTTCATGTAGGCGATGAAGTTGATATCGCAGTTGGAATAATCTTGTAGATGAGCTCAAAAGAACTCATCTCGCGAGGATGTCGATTGGTGATGTCGCTGTGCTAGCGGTGGTTGCGAATTGGGTTGCATCGCATCCCTTGAGGAAGCGGATCTGCCGCTGGTTGTGATTCTTGCGCTTGCTGTAGCTTCTCTCGGGCTAACTAATTTCCCTCGTTCCAGCTCTTGCTGAATCCTTCCATCCACTGTCTCATACTGATGTGCCAAACCGCGCCCCAACCCCAAGATTTTCTGGGGTCGCGTTTGCCTTCGCGCAACAAGAAAATCACCCCCCCCCCCCCCTCCCCAACCCCCAGAATGCCCGGGGTCGCAAGTACGGTCGTCAGCAAAAACAAGTATAGTTTTTCTTTTAGTAGACCAGCCAGCAAATGGTTGCTTCGCCACAAGGCCCAAAGTCCAAGAAATGATCCAGAAAACCGCCAGCAAAACAACATGGAGCATTCGCGGTATATTCCGCCCCATGTCACACTGGTTTCTCTCGCTGACAAAGACTTGATGAGCCAATCAACACATCATGGCTGTAAACAAGGCTCCGCATGCGAATTGAACTTTGCAATGCAAGGCATGAACCAAAACAAGTCTCCCCGATTTTGAGACTGCCCCTCTCTGGCACCAAAGCAGGCCTGGTGCATACTGCTCCGCGTACTCCTTGCGGATGGGCATGGCTGCCATGCTTGGTCGGGACTACTATAGCTGAGTGATTCGCTTATAGAATAAGTTCCCACAGCCAGCTTTGGTGAATCAAACAATCATCTCCTTCAAGAACTCGTCGAAGAAGTCCCCCCGGATCAGCCAGCGGTTCACGGCCAAATCACGGCAATCCTGAGGCTGTGGTTACCATTTTGGAGGGATCCGTCCATGCCGCCGGGGGAAACACGATGAAACACCGCTGTAATTGTCGGCCGAGTTTCGTCCCGGGTTCAACATTCTGTCTCTTGTGACTTGTATACCGCGGGCTTTTGGGGGAGCAGGCTTGCACGAGCTGCATCCAGGGTGCAATGGGGCCAATCCCTGGTTACATGCTGAAGCCACTATTCTGCAACCAACCTCCTTGTGAACCTGCTTTGTACCTGAGAACCTTGTTGGTTCACGGCTTGCCTTGTTCTTCTCAGATCTCGGCCCCTTGTTTGAACTTTTGTGAAACCCTGGCAGGATCCAAAGCACCCGACCTTTTTGAGGTGCTCTCGCCGCCGGATGAAGTCACGCAGCAACTCGCCGTCGCGGCCGTGACCTTTCTCCTCGACGAACAAAGGCCTTAGAGGGGAGCCAAGGTTGGGCCATCCTCTTGTAACGCGTTTAAAGCAACAATGCTCCAAGGCGGCAAAGGTCTGATTGTTTCAACAGATTGTGCCCAACCCTGCTTCTTTCTGTGCACGCTACCCCCGCTTCTGTCCCGTCGTAAACATCGCGTCCGGGCTCCTTGGGATAAAAGGAAGCCGCAACACCAGCCATTTGTGGGTCTCGCCCACCCTGACGCTCAATGTTTCCGCTGTGCCGCCAAAGCACACAAGTGCCTTTGATCGCCGGGCTCGGAGCGCCTGGAGTGCATTCGCACAAGGTGTCCCCTCTATCGACGGCCCAATTGGAATGGCCAGAGCACGTGAAGATCTTGGGCTGAGCTCACCGCAACTTGGGAACTTGGCTCAGCCTGGCAATCCCGATGTGAAGCATTGGAAAGAGATCGGCAGCTTGGCTCAAACCACCCACACGCGCACTCTCACACACTGATACAAACAAGCCATCCCGTTTGATGCTGGCTTCCTTGAGAGGAAGGTACCCTCTCCGCAGTGGATAGCTGTTTCCTTTGAGTCCTTGAAATAACATCTTTTTGTTGGTTTCCCCCAATGGTCATCCCATCTTTTATGAACCTTTTGTCAACCCCCATGTGTTTTGCTGGAAGCCCCCCTCAGTGCATGGCAACGAATCTAGGGCCGCCGCAAGCACCAAGGCGCCCTCCTGGCTTAAAGTTGGTGGACTTCCTCTTGTGGTTCTGTCTCAACGTAGATCCCTTTTGTTCAAAGGGAAAGCAAAGGAAACAAACCGTTTTAGGGGTACCCAAAATGTGAGACAAGTGATCTCCACCAAGAATTCCCACTTCAGATGCCTTCGCAGACATTCTCTAAGTCGCAGCTGTTCCCAACCGCGACAAGCAAGCAACATGTCTCTAACCGCAAGCAGCTGTGCTTTCACTATGTGTTGTGATGGACGCGAACCACGCGGCAGAGTCCGTCAGTTTTCTGATTCAAGAGTTTGTATGAAGCAGGCGTGCACCAAGAGCAGGTTCAGGGCATGGCTGAGGGGAAACTGAAGGGAAAAAGAAGGGAAACGGCTGGGAAACCAGGCATCCTTTTGGGTTCCCACATTTGAAAAATGGCCATAGGTCAAAATTCCGTACCCCCAGTGAACATGCCAATCCCAGCTAAAATAGACTAAAATGGGTGGTGCACCCAATCCAAAAATCGTACCATTGGTTTTGACGCACAGCCAAATGTGGGAACCCGGAAGGGGTTTTCAAACTTTCGACACCCAGCGGTCCGTCAAAGCCAGTCCTTGACCTCATCCTCTGTCTTGGCCGAGTCCTGCGCAAGCGGAGGCACTCCGTGCAGCCAAAAGAACATGCCCATGCCTGCATCTCAGCATCCTTTTGCCTCAGAGTGCCAGACTGTCGCATTCATGCTAAAATGGCGCTGCAAAGAAGGGGGGTCGCTAGGTGTTCCAATTTCTACCCTGTGTGTATGTGTGGGTGGCGCGAAATGGCAAGGCGTAGTTGCGGGTTCCCGGTGACTTTGCCGTTGCTTCAAAATACAGTAGTCACAGTGCACAAAATCATCCGTTCCTGTCGCATGGGCACCAAACGCAACTTGTGGCTTTTGCGGCGCCATCTCCCATCGCTCACCAGGGCTGTGGCTCGGCATCTGGCCCAGGGCCTGATTCTTGGGAGACCAAAAGAGCAAGGAATCAACAGCGGGGGGGTTGTGGTTAAAATATGCTCGAACCGCTAAGGGCAATGCATCTTGCAAACTTGTTTTGTTGACTGTCTCAGAAGGACACGGCCAGTAGCAAGCGACACCACTCGCAAAAAAAACAGCACCATTATATCGATCGATGACCCATGGGCACAGCAGAGTTCAAGGCGAACATCAAAAGCCGGCAAAACCTTCAGCCACATGCATCAATACCGACCCGTTCATTCACTGAGAACTTGCTGCATCATGGGCCAAAATAATATTCAACAAATATGTTTCTGTTCTGTCCCGTCATGAAAGCCATCCACCCACATGCAGCTCCACAACAAACGAACAGTGACAATGAATGTCTCATATGATTTAATCGAGGGAAACAAGCGTTGGCACTCCACGCACGGCGGCGTGAAGGACGCACGAACCCACGCAAACACCCACGCACGCACTCACCCACGCACCCATGCTCCCAACGACACCCAGCCAGCCACTCGGAGAGAGAGAGAGAGAGAGAGAGAGAGAGAGAGAGAGAGAGAGCGAGCGCGAGAGAGAGAGAGAGAGAGAGAGTGAGAGAGAGCGAGCGAGAGAGAGACACCTGGGCACCCGCCCACCCCCTCTTGGTGGCCAAGGTAACCATCAGAACGAGAGTTGATGGAACAAGAGCCAACTGATCAGCACTGCATGGTTCTTTGCCATCTGTCCCTCGTCGCTGAGAGCAGCGCTCTGGGCGTCCATGTGCCAGGCTGAGCGATGCTGGGTCCGAATCCTCCCAAGTTTGCGATCTACTGGCACCGAATAGCTTTTCTGGCAACAAGGCTCAGCTCAAATCCAGTCTGAGGGGGGGGGGTGCTGATGTGCTTGAGTACCGTCCGGTTGGTGGTTTATTGATCCGTGATAACCAACCCCCGAGTACGCCTGCAAATCCTGAGAAGCCGATGAGCACAACAACTCCAACTGTATGAACAGTCGCTGAAGTCGACCCAATCCCAAGTATGTTGGTTTCAAGCAATCATCCGCTAGGTTAGGATCTGGGACATGTTGGCCCTGCTTGGGCGTATGGAGGACAGTTACCTTCAGCTTGGAGCCATGAGGCAAAGACAGAGCGGCGCCATGTCAATGCATAGTTTGCCATGCAACACATTGTGATACTGTCCGCCGTAGCAACATTCAACTGTGCATCCTCAGCCAGACTAGGCTGGTCTACAATCGGGGCCCAAGATAGATCCTGGACGCCTCAAATGGTTGCTTCCTTGCCCGTAAAAGACCCTTATCCGGTGTATCACCAAGTCCCACAGAACTTGATTGATAACCTCCCAAAGTCCGGTGCCCCACATCCAAAAAACAGGTGACGTCCCTCAGGCCCTTTACTCCTGCGAGCAGCTGCCTTCAAGTCCCAGAAAGGCCGAATGCGACGACCAGAACGGCCTTTTCCGGAATGCGGCGAGAACCACCCAGGCGAGCTCCGCGGCTCGGCCTCGGATGCTCCGAAAACCACCTCTCCCCCCGAAGGAGGCAAAAATGGAGCAGCAAATGCACCTTTCTAGGCACAAGGTTCTCATGCGATCTTGTATTCAAGGATTGGGAACAGGTTATGAACAACCTTGGCAAATTCCTGTCCAGGGACCAGGGCTCGGTTGCTCGAGTTGCCACAGCTTGCGCGAGACTGCCAACGTCACCCTGCCTCAGAGGAAATTGGCAGCATCAACGCCTGGCGACGCATTGGCTTGACTTTCAGAGCCTTTCCTGCAGTATGTTTGGCTTTTGGCCGCAGTACTGCTTGCTGCAACCTTCATATTTCCAGGCTTTGATTCTGGCTCCAATGTCTTCGCGCAACCTCCACCCACCGAGCATATTCACTGGAGAACAACCCTGCACAAGAAACGCCGGCACCTTGTGCACGCACCCGCAGATGTCTCTGCCAGGCCTGGGCTGGTGTGTGCATGTACGCGCCTGTCATGCGTTTGTGAAAGGAGCTGCAAAATGAGCGTTAAAAGGAGCTTTACAAGCATTAGAAAGAGCTTTTTTAAGGAGTCGCGGAAGGTTTTACGGAGCTTTATAGGCATCTTTATTTTTGAAGAGCTTTCTCATAAGCAGCTTTACAAGTGAGCTTCACAAGGAGCTTTGCAAGCAGCTTTATGAGGAATTGTACAAGGAGCCTCATATGGAGCCGTTCATTGAGACACATGTTCATTAAGGATCTCCAAAAAAGGAGCTTCAGAAGGAGTCGTGAAGCAGCTATACAAGGAGCCTTGTGAGGAGCTTCATGAGGAGCCTCATGAGGAGCTTTGCAATGCCTCTTACAAGGAGCGCCTTTAAAGGAGCTTGATAACAGCTTGATCACAACTTGAAAGCCAGGTGTTGAGTTCTAATCTCAAATCGGAATCTAATTTGTATGAAATGCCCAATTATTGTGCAACCAAATTCACACAGTTTGTTTGTTTTGGGATGATTCGCTTCAAACCCCACAAAAAAAGAAGAACAACAAAGAAGATGCAAAACTGAGGGAACACTACAAAAAAAAGAGAAGAGAGCGGGGCGCGAGGGGGGGTGGAGTTATAAAACTGTGTAAACGTGTCATTTTTTGGTGTTTCAAGCATGATAATATGAAGCAGGCTGCATTGAGGCTTGTTTTGACCTGTCCAGATCAGTCATAGGGTGAGTATTCCCTTAGTAGTTTCTTGGTACAGCCTCTAGTATTCCCTCAGTGTTCCCCTAGTAGTCCCTCAGTATTCCCCTTCTTAGTAATTCCCTAGTATTCTCCTAGTATTCACCCTTAGTATTCCCCTAGTATTCCCCTAGCATTCCCCTAGTAGTCCCTGTTATCCCCTCGGTATTCCCTTAGTATTCCTTTAGTATTCTCTTGGCATACCCTCTAGTATTCCCTTCATGTTCGCTCAGTATCTCCTTAATATCTCTCAAGTATTCTCTCAGTATTATCCTACTGCTTTCCTAGCATTCACCCTTAGTACTTCCCTTCGTACTCCCTTGAGACGTCCTTAGTATTCCATTTAGTATTCCTTCAACATTCCCCTGTTCCTTTAGACTTTCTCTTACCCTTAGGAATCCCTCAGTAGTTCCCCAGTATTCTCCTAGTATTCCCCTAATATTGCCTTACTATTCCTTAGTATTTTCTTGGTATACACCCAGTATTCTCCCAGTATTCCCCTTCCCCTAGTATGATCCTAGCACTCTTACTGCTAGGGTTCCCTCAGTTTCCTAGCGTTCACCCCTAGTACTTCCCTGGTATTCCCTTGATACGTCCTTCGTATTTTCGTTCCCCTTAGTATTCCTTTAGCATTTCCCTTTTCCTTGAGTATTCTCTTACCCTTAGTATTCCCGCAGTACTTCCCTAGTATTCTCCTAGTATTTCCCTAATATTGCCCTAGTAGTCCTTAGTATTTTCTTGATATACCCCATTTCCCTAGTATGCTCCAGCATTCCCCTTTGCATTCTTCTAGTATTTCCCTATTATCCCCTTGGCGTTTCCCTAGTATTCCTTTAGTATTGTCACTGTATTCTCTTGGTACTACTCCGGTAGTATTCCCTTCTATTCCCTGAGAATGCACCAGGATCTGGGGCATGGGGTCTGAGGTTGTTTTTTGCAAAACTCGAGGTTTTTCTCACTTTTCAAAAAAAACTAAAAAAACTCGAGTTTTCCAAAACAACCAAAAATACAAAACTCCAGGGGGGTGTCTCCAGGATCTGGGGCATGGGGTCTGAGTTGTTTGGAAAACTCGAGGTTTTTCTCACTGTTCCAAAAAAACAACATAAACTTGAGGTTTCAAAAACAACTCCAGGCCCCAAGATTGTTTTTCTGAAATTCACCCCTAGTAAGGTCTGGCTAAGCATTCAGCATTCAGCAATCCTTATGAACTCTACTGGATACATTTAGCTAACTATACTCGATTTCTAACTGAAATTGAACATGATGTTATAAGGACATAATCCAATCATAATTGCCATGTTAAATTAGAATTTAAGTAGTGATTATTATATTTCAATAGTAGTGATTATTCTATTTCAATTTAAATGTTACACAGGATATCATTTCCAATAGACTTGTATTTACACATCAGTGAGCATTTAAACACAATATTCAACAAAATTCAACATGGTCGACACCTCTGAGTTATTTCCTTATGAAATATTATTATTTAATAGATTTATCAAATTATACTAAGATAATACTAGGGGAATATTGAGAAAATACTTGGGGGGGGAGTGCTGAGGGAACCCTAGGGGTAAGAAAATACTAAAGGAATAGGGGAATGGGAACACTGGAGACACCCCCCGTGGGGCCTGGAGTTTTTTTTGGTTTTTCCAAAAAAACCTCGGACCCCATGCCCCAGATCCTGGAGACACCCCCCGTGGGGCCTGGAGTTTTGTTTTTTGTGTTTTTATTTAGGAAAACTCGAGGTTTTTTTGTTTTTTCCAAAAAAAAAAAAAAAACACCTCAGACCCCATGCCCCAGATCCTGGAGACACCCCCCGTGGGGCCTGGAGTTCTTTTTTTTTTTTTTTGAAAACTCGAGGTTTTTTGTTTTTCCAAAAAAAAAAAAAAACTCAGACCCCATGCCCCAAATCCTGGAGACACCCCCCGTGGGGCCTGGAGTTTTTTTTTTTTTTTTTGAAAACTCGAGTTGACTAGGTTGCTTGATGAGTGCAGATCATTGGACAAGTTTGCTTAAGGAGTGCGACACATAATTGATGTCATTTGGTAGTTGAATGCGGATGCAGAATTGATATGTTAGAGCAATTGTATGAAAACATGCTCTTTTCACAACTCCGCCCCCCATGGCGCCCCCTTCTGAAAAGAAAACACCGAAAGACCGAGGAAACTCAGAGGAGAAGTGTTGGCTCTGCAAGAAATGCGGTTTTCGGCCCTTGAGTTTTTCTTGGTTTTGGCTTTCCCTCCTATCCCCGCAACAAAAACAAACAACCTCGAAGTGTTTCTTTACCTGCTGGCACTTACTGCTGGCATTCACAAAAAAACATGTTGTTGCTCCGTGTTGACTTGCATCTTCTTTGTTCAGCAGGCAACCAACTGACAATTTGTTGTTTAAAGGTGTTTGGCTGTCACAAACCAAACAACAAAAAGCACCGAGTCTTTTTGTTTTAGGGATAAAGACAAAAAATAACTAAGAGAAACATGAGAAACAAACAAAAACAAACACACTGCGAGAAAACCGAACAACAAACACAACTTCCAGCAAAACCAAACTTCTCCTCTGAGTTTTGATTTGTTGGTTGTCGAGTTGTGTTGTGTTGTCCTGCTGACGTGTTTTCCGCTTGATCCCTCTAAAAACAAAACAACAAGAGGCGTGTTTGGTATTTTGACCTTCTGGCACCAACAAAACAAAGAAACAAGTTGTTTGGGTTGTTAGGAGGGAGAGAGAGATAAAGCCGAAACAAAAACCAAAGAAAACAACAAAACCAAAAACGACCTCGAAAAAAACAAACAAAATAAAATTGTCTGGCAAAACCAATACTTCAAAAAATGCTCAAAAGAGTTACTAACAAAAACATATCGTGATTTTAGCTTCAAGCAAGCTGTCAAGGGCAGTGTGTGGAGGGAGTCGGTGCAAACGCACATTTGTGCGATTGCCCCAAAACATTCCCTCTCAAACGGCCCAAACCGAATAACACTAAATGGCTCAAGCCGGCGCACCACGTGAGAGTTGCCATGAGAAGGGCTGCAATCACTTAGAAAGGCGACTCCTTGCGCTTCGAAAGGTACTCCTTCAGCTGGGGCAGCGCGTCGACGCTCTCCAAGGCAGCCTTCAGCTTGGGGCAGGCCTGAAACGCGGCCTTCGCGCCCTCGGTGTTGTCGAAGAAACCTCCCGGGGCCAGCAGCAGCGTGTAGAAGAGCACGTCGGCCAAAGAAGGCTTGGCGCCCACAAGGAACGGCCCAGACCCCGGCAGGGACTTCTCTGCGAGCTTGCACCAGTTGGGCAGGTCTTCCGCGAACCACTTGTCCATGGCCTTCTTCTTCTCCTCGTCGCCCTGAGTGCCCCTCACCTTCTGATAAGCATCCTTGATGTCGCGCACGGTCTCCCCGAGCTGATCGATCTGCGCCGCCTCCACTGGAGAGCCGCCCATGAGTCCCAGCTGTGTTGCCACGAAGCGCTCGATGGCCTTGGACTGGCCGACCTTGGCTCCATCCACCTCCAGCAGCGGCACTTTGCCAAGGGACACGTCCAGCTCACCCTTGGCCTTCATGGCGTCAAACTCGGGACGCTGGATGGTGCTGAAGTCCCCCGGCGTGCCGAAGGTCAGCGAGAGCCGCACATCCTCGTAGGCCTGCTGCCCCACCGCGAACAGGATCCGCGTGTTCTCCGCAAGACCGCGGATGTCGAAGTAGGTCAGCTTGTAAGTGGGCATGGCGACCAGGGTTGAAGGCGCGAGCAGGCTTCTTTCTGTTTGCAGCTGACAGCCTGAGCCAAAATTGCTTTATAGGGTTGTCTGTCATTCTTTCAAAGTGAAGGTAGATCATGGGCTGTGTGTGTGTGACCACATATATACATGTATATATATATATGTTATGTGTTCTCGTGTATATCACTTTTTTCACATCTGTCCTGTGCGAGGCTGTCAAAGGCAGTGGGGAGGGAGTCGGTGCAAACGCACATTTGTGCGATTGCCCCAAAACATTCCCTCTCAAACGGCCCAAAACCGAATAACACTAAATGGCTCAAGCCGGCGCACCACGTAAGAGTTGCCATGAGAAGGGCTGCAATCACTTAGAAAGGCGACTCCTTGCGCTTCGAAAGGTACTCCTTCAGCTGGGGCAGCGCATCGACGCCCTCCAAGGCAGCCTTCAGCTTGGGGCAGGCCTGAAACGCGGCCTTCGCGCCCTCGGTGTTGTCGAAGAAACCTCCCGGGGCCAGCAGCAGCGTGTAGAAAAGCACGTCGGCCAAAGAAGGCT